TCTGTCATTTTAGGTTAACAATGAGTTTTATTTCTTTTCCTTGCGGTGTTTCTTTAATGTGTGTGTCTGAGAAAGATATAGACCTTTAACATCTGCAGCTCCCATCAGTCAAATTGTATTCATTAATTTATTCATTTGTCTCTAATATTAACAGAAAAACTGAGTACCATGTTTCAGCTTCTCAGACTGATGAAAGAATACAGTATGTATGTACACTGGGCCAGATCAGGTCCATTTATGTTACTGTACTTGAGGAGTTGCTTTACTTTTAAACAACATTTTACTTTTACCCAGTACATTGTTACACAACTATCTGTTCTCTCTCCTCCTTACATCTTCAACACATTATATTTATCTATACATTTTATATGAATTATCTTATTCTTATTTATTATTGATCATGGCCGATGAATATCATCACAGACGGAACGTGACAAAAACAGGATAAAAGTCATAAAAGTGGAAACAGGTGAGAGAGGGAAACTCCATCCTGTTCGAAGTTTCAGTTTAAAAGCAGCTGACTTACTTAGCTTACTTTGATACTCTTACTGATATAAGTAAATGTTTTCACTTGTTTGTAGTAATTTGATAAGAAACACGTCACACCCTCACCCTCCTCTCTCCGTACCCAACAGGCCTTTTCAAAACAATATCAGAGTATGTTCACTCTAGTAAGTAAGTAATAATAAACCCAATATTCTATAATCAAGTAGATTTAAATATTGTCATCTCCATATACATATAAAGCACAGCCTAAATTGGAACTGTTATTCACACACCTTCCAAAATCCAGTCTCATTATTCAGAAACCTGAAATTAACTGTTAAAAATAATCTAAATAAACATTTCCTGTAATGAACACCTGAATCTATCCACAATGAAAATCTTTACCTGAAGACGTATGAGTCAGAAGTAAGAGGAAGAGGATTGGAGCCAGTGGAGCCATGTGGATGTGGATCAGCTGCTGTCTTTAACCCTCTCTGTCTCCTGTGTCCTGTAAATATTCTGCATCAGGCTTGACAGGCTGTCTTATATCTAATTGCAACTGGGCGGCTCTCTCAGCGTGGCATTCTGTGTAACAACGTCTTATTTTATATATATAAGATATAAAATCATGTTATTTACCTTCAGTTATATTAGAATAGTTATAGTTATACCTAATTTAACAATATATGCCAAGCAATTTACAAAAAATCGATTTATTTGTATTTTTATATTGAAACTCAATAATCTTTCCCCCCTGTAAAACAAGATGTGATGCATGCTTACGTAAGCATGACCCAACCAAACTTCAACTTTTAGACCAGATCCCAACAAACCAGATCCCAACCACAGCCACGTGTTCTTTTCCCGTCCAGTTCCGCACCAATATCAGGCTGACTTCACTATATTTTATTTTAATGTAACTTTCCCCACGCTTCGTAAATACCGTTAGCTAAAGTTTCCCAGTTCTTATTATGGTCTTCCAACATCTTCATGCAGTCTTTCTTTTATCTGCATTTCTTTTCTTTGTGGTACTTTCCATCACATTACGCATCAATCTGCATAGCTTGTCACTTTGTGGTAACTCGCAATTTTCCCTGTTGATAATTGACCCATGTGTGCCAAGTATGGATTTCTGCTTTATACATAAAAAACATTTTAGAAAAGCATCTGTCGTGCTGTGATCTGATTTTTGAAAACTAGAGCAAATCAAAATGTGGCACTTTGTCTTAAATATTTGGGACAATTGATGAAAATTGAGCACACGGAGGAGGTCGGGTGGATGGAAGACTTTAATTATTCACTCACAATTTCACTTTTTTGATGCAAGTGAACTTATATAACGTACTAAAATGATGTCAAATACATAACTCATCATCTTGTCCTGAACCTAATCAAATAGTTTTAGTACTTAACTGTGACGATTTCTTAGGGTTAACTACTGTGGCTTTGTTTGACATATTTATCCTTACCAACACTGCGCATACAGATATTTTAAAGGGCGACTGACCAAGCGTCCATATTTGATGAGTTTCCCTTCTTTAAGTTAAATTCTCATTCATCATTTAATATTAATATTGATTATCTCTGATAGCCCAAAATTGATAATAATCCAGTTGCACCAAACCTTTTGGTGCCCTGTGTGAGGTTCATTAATTGTCGTTACATATTTTGGTATCCTTTAAGCAATTTTTCCTACAGCTTCATGAGCATGGTCACTCTGTTTTCATCTTTTAAATAACTCTCACCATAAATCTGCGCTTTAGCAGATTGTTATATTTATTCAAAATTGATTTTAAATATCCAAAATGGATACTTTTGACTAATAAGTTAATTAAAAACATTTTTGTACCTCTCTTTTTCTTTTCAGAAACAGGTATTTTGGTGATTATTTGACTTTAATTTTAAAATGCAATTATTTTTAATTCATATACATGGCATTTTTCTTTTTCACAGTAAAAAAGGGAATTAAAAAAATTGTTTTCCTTTCATTTTCTATTTCATGATATAAAAACTAAAATCACTAGAAAACAGAAACCATATTCTGACTCTGGGTGAGGTCATAAGAGACTAAATTGGCAATGTGCCCAACTCTGGAGTTAGACAGGTGTTTATTTGGAGAGCCAAGAAAGGACAAAATACACACCGTACAGCAACAACCTCTCACATTATATCACATATCATGATTCACTGAAGTCTTGTTGAATGATAAAACTGTTTCCCTTAAGAAAATTAAAGGGAAATTGCTTTGTCTAAATTTACCACAGTGGTTCCAAATATATTTACGCCTTCAACACCGGCTCACTGGCAATCCTACATTTGACCACATCCGGTCTCACAATATATGTTTGTTATACTCAATAGGAAGTTAAAGTCAAACACTTTAAATCATTTTTTGTGTTTTAATTCCCATTTCTGAAAAGAAAATTGAATGACCAAAATATACACTGAGCCATATCTCATCAATCTTGACAATTTATGTTTTGGGAATTAAACCTCCATCTATTAACTGCTCTTAATTTACCACACTACAGTCACCGCTGAGAATAAAAATCTCCAAGGAAATCTACTTATGGTAACTTTGAAAAGACACGTAAGAGCTGTTGTCATGTCAGCATTTCGAAATCTCCAACAGTGATCTCAAAACTAAACTTCTTCAAACCTGTTTAACACGTGAGCCTGCACAAACCGCCACAATACCAAAACCAACGTCTCTGAACCAGCCGTTCAATGGAGAGCAAATGTCACCCATACACAGATAACATCACCAGTCCTGTTGCAACATCACGTTTCAAGGTACAACTGTTGGGTCTCTGTGTGACTGTGAGATAACTTTCGGTCAAAACTGAAATGAATTGAATTTATGCATTATGTCATTATATAACACAAATTTGTACAAACAGTTGTGGTTCTTCATGCTGCACATACACAGAACGTTAGGATTAAATCAAATAAAACAATTACTTCTGTACATATACAGAGAAAATGGGTGGAGGGCTCGGGGTTGCTGCTTCCTCTTTGTTATTACATCACTTCCTGCTTTCTAGTTGGACTCTTTAAAATTGCTTCAGACTGCAGAATTATATCCAGTGAAAGTCCCTGAATCCCAAATCTGTTACAGTTTTGTTTCAGGTGAATCACTGCAGAGCAATTACTGATAAGTCTGGTGTAACTTGGCAGACAGCCAGGGGAAGTCCTGATGCAAGAATCATCATGTTGTCTTCAAGCAGTGAATCATTGCATCATTTCACTGTAACAGAGACTTGGGATTTCTGGTGCGCAGTGTAACCTGAATTAAACTGACTGTGACTCTCAACTCGCTGTTACTCAGTCACTAACTTCAGTACTTCATATGGAGCTCCCTTTATCAGACCAAAAATAAGATAAGGGCCAGGGCCTCACTGTTTATCATAAAACAACTTCATAACTTTATTCACTGATTTATGGAGTTTCCTGATGGAGATATAGCTGTAGCTGCCTCTAGTTACCAGTTAGCGACTTGAGGCTGCTCCTGGCTAATGTCCAGTCTGGATAAGATGGGACTCAGGCTGGTCAAACTGTTCAAGAGACTGTTGTGTTCACATCTTTACAGAGACCAGCTCCACAAACATCCCGGATCCTGGATGGGTGGACCACGTTCAGAGCCGACAGTGCAGGACGAGAAGAGGCGGACTCTTCCAGTGACAGTCCAACTGTATGGACACTGTTTGTTTTTATGTGAAGATGAAACCAGATTATCATCACTGTGTTGTTGCTGCTGTTTACATTCAACCAGACACAGTAAATAACTGTACATATTGTTTAAGGCAATTTTTATTTATTAAAGGAGTCATATTATTCTCTTTTTCAGGCTCATAATTGTATTTTGTGGCTCTCCTACAATAGGTTTAGATGTTATAATGTTCAAAAAACACATTATTTTTCTCATACTGCCTATAGCTGAGCACCTCTTTTCAGCCTCTGTCTGAATCGCTCGGTTTCAGCTCCTGTCTCTTTAAGACCCCCCTCCCGAAAAGCCCAGTCTGCTCTGATTGGTCGGCATTATGACGCGGCTCACTCGGATGACGCTCCGGCCCCTCCCCTTCGTTGCCGGCAGGTAGCTCCTCACTGCTACTGAGATTATCTGCATTTCTACCGTCAATATTAATTCAATAACTGCACGTCAGTATAAAGTTACACAAGAAGCAACATGAAAAATAATCACCATAACTTACTCCCTGTATTTTGTTAACTTCTAAGGAGGCTTGATCACAGTTTGACTATTTCTCTCTCATGATAGCTATATCTTTACCTCCGGTACATTTACATACATCAGCACACACACACACACACAGACACACACACATACACAGACACACACAGACACACACAGACACACACACACACAGACACACACACACAGACACACACACACACACACACACACACATACACACACACATAATGACTATATATATAATAGCAGTGTATATAATGACTGTTTATATAATGACTGTTTTATTTTCTCCTTCAGACCAACAGAACCTTACAGCTCATCCTGGAGACAATGTTGTTCTGAAATGTGAGGCTCCCAGAAACACAACAATCAATGTTGCAAAGTGGAAGAAAGATGGTCTCAGTAAACATGTGTACTTCAACCGAGACGGGCACTCCATCCGACCACGTGACCAGGACCCATCTTATATAGGGCGGGTGGATCTGGTGGACCGTGAGATGAAAGACGGTAACCTGTCTTTAAATCTGAAGAATGTGAGCCACAACGACACTGGAACATATGAGTGCAGCGCTGATAAAGTCACACTGGCTAGGGTTGTCCTTAACGTTACAGAAGCAGGTGAGATGTCACTGATTGTGTTCATGGAACCGCTGCACACAATGTGGAATACACAGGCTCTATTTTAGTAAAGGGTTCCCTAGAAAACTCCTGGGAAATGTTTTCTTAAAGAGCGGGAATCCTGTGAATACATTCATTCACGTGTCTGCTTTCTGCTCTTCACAGATCATACGGCAGTGGCAGTGGCAGTGACAATTGTTTTTTTGGTTGCATTAATCGGGTTTGTGATATATCAACAATCTCAGAACCTCAAGTGTGGCCAGAATGGTAAGTCCCACTTGCTGCAGTCTGGTTTTAATTTGTGCTTCAGTTAAAGGTTATATATGTGACATTCACTGCCACTAGATGGCACACTAGAGCTCAAAGCAATGGGCGCTTCCACCCACCAGACTCCATTCACAAAACCAGTCATTTTACCCAGCAGCTCTTAAAATACCCTTTACCTCAAAGTGGACAGAAACAGAACAATGACAACATTCAGTAACACAGATGATAAAAACAGCGGTTTACTCTACTCAAAGCCACGTTGCCAGGACGACAGCTTGTGTGTATATAACCTTGAAATAACATGTTTGTTCACACCCAGTTTGAGTTCTTTGTTTAGTTTTAGTTAATAACCTTAGTGAGCTTCATTTAATGGTCAGAAAACTGTGCTGTAGAATCTGACCCCGATCAGGGTCTTGCTGTTATTATTTATTGTTATAAATACAGAAATGGTGGCCTGCACACACTCAGACGTTTTGTCCTGTAAATCTCTGCAGGGTTGTTGTAAATTATACATTGAGGGGAAGAGCAGGAGACTCAATATGGTGTGTGTATTTATTTATTAATCTATCTGTGTGTTTATTCTGTTTTCCAGATGTTGCTGTTCTGTTACCAGATGGTATGAAGGCTTTAAGCAGGTCGTAGAAGATGACAGTACTATTGACTCTAACTTTGTTTGAATGCTGTCTGTCTGCAGCTCCAGTCTCTTCACATTAGCCTTCAACCAGCTGATGTCCTCATACTGGCTGCGAACCTTTATGCACTTTGCTTTGCACTGATGAGCTCCTGCACTTAAAAACAAAAAGTTGTTCATTTTAGAATTCAATGTGTCTGATGTATTTTTTGTATTTTTGTATTTTCCATTAATTCTGGCTTTCTGTTACTGGGTTTGTGTGAAGAACTACAATTTCTTTGTTGCAGCAGTTCTGTTATGAAAGCTGCTCCGGAGATAGTGTTTATTACATTAAGCTTTACTTTCTACTGTCTCCATTGTGTCACTTCATTTGTGTTACATTCATACAGATATTTTCATTCAGCTTGTCTTTGTTTAAGTTCCTACTAGAAAGCTTCATTCTGTGTTAATTCTGGCGGTCCCTGTGGACAAAAGCAGTAATGTTTCTGCTTCCTCGTTTTATTGATTTTAAGGTAAATCTGACCTGGTGGCAGCCATTACTAATAACTGATGGCGTTTGGGTCTGTAGGTCATATAGCAGCATCAATGTTGAACTGTATAAGGGTTTAAGTACAGATTCCTGTGGTCCTGAAATATCTATATATAATGAGAGCTCATTCCTCTGATCACATCTCACAAACTACCTCCAGATTAGCTTTGGATACTTTTTATTAATAAAATGATTATTATGTAGAATCTGCAAAAGTCTGTTCTGTGTCCTTCTTTGGACCTTGGATCAGTACACATAGAGAACCAGGTACAAATGATCCTTTTTTAAAAATAAAACTTTAACATAGAAATGTCTAGAGCTGATGTTTGTGTACGTGGACTTTAGCTTTCTTATCAATGTGAGAGTAAAGGTACAACATTATGGAAACAAACTGCTCATTGAACTAACACCTGAAAGTGCCATTTGCTGTTATACAGAGCCTTCAGTCATGACCAATAAAGCTGCTCTTTTACTGTAAAGCTCAGTTTATTGCTCTTGTTTTTATTATATTGTCTTTGTGGTCTGTAGTTTCAGCAGTCAGTGACAGATAGACACACACAAAGGGAAACCAATTACAGCACACTGCCATTAGAAAAGAAAATGAGCTGATAATTATTATTCAATACCCACATTATTATAGGTTTGTTATGCTCAGCATCTTTCTAATGAATCTAACAAGTACAGCGTCAGAAATAATCTACAGATTTTTTACAGATAAAATACAGATTTTGAAAGCAGAAAATGATTCAGCTACCATCTTACTGTCTCTGCCTGGCTGAAGGGAGGAGGAGGAGGAGGATGTGTGAGCAGAGAGAAAATGATGGTGAACAGTTGTTCTTGTTGGAGTGGATTTCTTTTTTCCACAAGTAATGATGGATGATGGATAACTAACCCAAACCAACTAACCAGCACACAGACGGAGGTTGTGTGAGTGAATCAGTCGTTCTTTGTGTTATCTTTCTCTTTATCTTTTCTCTTTCTCATTTTTCTCTGCAGCAGCTATGAGAAAACTCATTTATCTGAGGGCGAGTGAAGTGGTGAACCCACAGACAAAACCACATGATCCCCTAAGAGCGAGACAAGAGACGCTCATTGTTTGGTTTTAATTGATCCAGTGAGATTGAAAAGCTGCCGAGGTTCTTGTAAAGCGAGGGAGCCCAACCAGTGGATCACAGTGTGATTAGTGAATACTGAATCAATCACTGACAATCCTCCTCTGACAAACTCTGTAGTGTCAGTCTGTCCACACCCTGCACATGGATGTTGTTGTCTCATACTGCCACCTGCTGGTCAGCTCAAGACATCACTACAGTGCTCTGGAGGCAGTTGAGCTTAGACACTGAACGCTGATTGATCAGCTGCACTATAATCAATTCTGATGAAGTCTCACAAAACCAATCATGTCTCTTGAAGCAGACGAGAAACAGAAGACAAATCATTTTTAGACAGAATCGAAAGAAGACGATGTCTTTGTCATGATGAAGTCAAAGTGTCATTTGTTAAAGCAAAGAAGAGTCGTCCAGGACGGCGACTCACAACCTCTGCGAGGGATCTCACAGCTCTTTCTGCCGCAGTCTAACCACACCCATTCCCCTGGCCCTCCCCACACTGCAACAGCCTCTTTCCAGTCCAAAAGTCGACATGAAGACAAGAAGAAAAGTGAATCAGTGACTGGGTCCCAGTCTGTGATCTGCCTCTAAAGGTGAGCTCTTCATGTGAACGGATGAGTGTGTGTGTGCAGACTAAAGCATTTTGATAATCACACTACAGGTTAACAACAGTACTTTGCCTTTAATTAGCAACATTTTCTAAATAGTTCTTGATGAGTTGATTAAACATGTTCAAATTGCAAAGGTATCTACTGCAGTTGATTCTACAGCCTGTTGTTGGATGGAAATATCAGGATGTCTGTGTAGAAAGTGTTTGCAGAGGTGAAACTTTCTGCTGACATTTGTTATAGATGAGCAGAAACATTGTAATTTAAAGATGTGGCTCTGTAACATCTTTATGAGAGACTTTCAGAGCGGTGTACTCAGTCGACTGCTCGTCATATTTCAGCAGTGGGACACATTAGCTGGCAGGTATCTATAATGTTGATATAATGTCTCCCTAACTTAATATAACTTTTGTATTCTGGCCTATAGACTATTCAGATTACAGGTTTCTGTATTTGAATGCAGCTTCACACCCAACAGTTTCCCTGTCTCCTTGTTGTGACTCCATTTCCTCCTCTTGTGTGGTGATTTGCATCATATTCGGCCTAATTATGCAGAGTTTGTGACTTTGTGGTGACTCACTGTTTCTCTGTTGGGTCTAGTGAACAGCAACCTGCTCTTGACCCACATGTTGTGCAGTTTGACTGACAAACAGCCTTCAGTGCCTTCTTCACAGCCATTGGTTAAAAACACTGATTTTAGAAAAGCCAATCACAGTGTGGGACAATGTCTCAATAAAGGTTATTGTTATTAATAAACCTTAGACGACACGTCTGAGCAGGTTCCTCCCTGCAGGACGCTGGGGGGTGGAGTCAGGTTGTCATGGAGATTCAGTCAGGTCCCGAGCTGTGGCAGCCTCAGCCAGTTACTATGGATGTAAAGTTCTTATGGGGCGCAGCAGTGTACTCCCAGGGGAGTAACAGTGGATGTTGTTGAGCCGTGTGCAGCTCTCAAAGTACAGTCACACTCATGGATTCAATAACATCAGAATAGATACTCAGGAATACATTGAAACACTTTGATTGAAAGCTTCTGAATCCAAACTCTGTTTCAGTTTTATTTCCTGTGAATTGTTCCAGAGTGAGTACTGATTGCTGACTCTTCACTGTCTTTGTTCAGTTTAGCTCACATATAACCCTGAGTGTTCTTAAAGTGAACAAATCCAACTGTCTGTGATCAGCTCTGAGTTCAACAGGAGCTGAAACCATTTACCTCCACATTAGAGACTCAAACAGTCTAATCTCTGGGTTACATGGGAGACAATGCAGTGTGTGTATCATGGGGGGAGGAGGAGGGTTCTTACATAGATTCTGAATTACTGACTGTCCCGTCTTTACTTCCTGTGTAGCTGGTTGAGCGAACATGTAAAGTAGGCAAACAAAGTGGTGTCATTTGTCAGTCCTGTCCCTGAATGCACCGTCAGATAAGATTTAAGATTCAAGAGGTTTATTGTACAATAAGAAACACATTAAGAACGATGAATACATTGAAAGAAATATGCAATTACAAATGAATGATGTGACACATTAAAGTGAAGTCTCTTCACATTCTGTTTATCAGATACAAACTACACTGTATGCAGGCTGGTGATGGATTAAGATGGATGAACTCATGAGGTTGTATTAGCAGCCTTGTTGACTGCTCTAGGGTCAGTTAGTCACAAACTGACTAATGATCTAATGATCTTGGTTATTCTGTATTCTTCTACATATTATTATATATCCTCAACTATATTATCCACATCTATACCGAACTTTGTTGCAGGGATACAATCTAACATTGTGTCAATATATTATATATTTCAAATCATAAAAATGTAATAAAGATCATTTTCTAATTTAATTTAAGGTTTAGAAACACAATGATTCCTATATTCAGCTGATGATACACTAATGGAAACATACCTATGAATATTATATTCCATTTCTGACAATACATCCTCCTCAATGTTTCACACTGGACCTTTAATACATATATATATATATATATATATATATATATATATATATGTATATATATAACAATAGCACCAACATATAGTTCTGCTTTCACCACGTTACTTCAGTAAAAATTATAAATCTACTCTAATATCAGAATAAAAGTCCTCATTCAGACTGTTGGCTCATTTAATCTATTAGTGCATCATTTATTGTAAAAGTTGAATCCACAGAGTATCCTGTAACTACACCTGTAGGAGGACAGGACACCAGTTGTTTATCAGAAACCATCTGCTGTATCTTTTCATACAGATTGTTTCCTGGAAAAAACCTGCTCAGCTGAATGTAACCACACCCTCCCTCCCCTCCCCCAGTGCTCAGGTAATAGGAAGCATCCACCTGTACACAGCAACAGAAGATCAATCAGTGGTAAAGTCTGTAAAGTCTGTGTTATAGTGTGCAGAGTTTTATCATCTGATGAATCTTCAAACTACTGGACTTCCTGGATTTTTACAGTGGACATGTTTTTTTCATCCAGATAATTAAAGGATTATTTGAGGATTCTGAGAAGAAACTGATTCAGCAGGTATCTACATTTATTACATATAATGATGATTTTATTTCTCTGTAGTAATGAATGCAATTGTTGGTGTTTGTTAAATAATGGTCAGGTCATTAAATGTTCAGTTTCAGTGCCATATGACAGATTAAGGGTAATAATGAGATAAATACAGTACTAAGGTCATTATTGATGTCCACATTAATATTAAAGTCACCTCCAATAATCACTGTTTTATCTGAAAGCTGTAAAATTGATGAAAAAGCTGAGAATTCAGATAAAAACTATTTCCCAGGTTCATCGTCTGAAAGATCATTTAATCCACAGACATAATGGACAGTAACGTCACTGGAGCGTTGGGGCGTGGTTTGTTGTATTCTGTATGCGTCAGGTTCACTAGAGTAGTTCAGTAGTCATCATGGCGGCAGTCCGATCGTACAGCGTTTACATCCTTCTGTATTTCTTTTGTTTCCTGGCTGCACAAGGTGAGTAGAGAGTGTGTGTGTGTGTGTGTGTGTGTGTGTGTGTGTGTGTGTGTGTGTGTGTGTGTGTGTGTGTGTGTGTGTGTGTGTGTGTGTGTGTGTGTGTGTGTGTGTGTGTGTGAGTGTGTGTGTGTGTGTGTGTCTCGGTCTGACGACCTTTTTACTCGTAAAACTTGAATGCCTAACCTACTAGTTTGATAGCAAGCTCTCACAGCTAAACCGAAACTAGATTTGTGATGAAGATGATGATGAAGATGATGATGATGGTTTGTGATGTTTCAGTCTCAGAGGTACATGTGTGATAGTTAGAGCAGCTGATGTTTGCTAACGTTACTTCAGATGTCAGACAGCGTACAGTGACAGCCACAGGTTTGAGGCCTGCTAGCACTGTTAGCCTCGTTAGCCTCGTTGGTAGTTCCGCTGTTGAGCGTTGTAGAGAGGCTCCCCTCCTGATTGGTCAGCCCGTTAGCCTATCAGGGCTAACGACTGAGAGAATATCAACTCCACTGCGGGCGGGGCTCCTGCTCAGAGACAGAGAGCGACAGAGACACAACCACACTACTGCAAGAACTAAAAGAGTTATTAGTTAATGAAATCACAAACAGTGAGCACAATCCACTTTATACAGGTAACTCAGGTAAACACTCTGAAGCTACTGTTAAAGAGAGAGAGACTCCTCCAGACAGCCATCACAAAACTCAACAGAGTTTATTATGTTAGGACATTTTATATATACATAGTTTATTAGTTAATATGTGTAAAATAATCTATAGTATATAGTTTGGTTGTAGAATAAACACAGTGTGCAGAGTTTTTGTGTCTGTTCTCTTCACCTGTTGGTACGTCCACAAGCACACTGTATATAGTTGTATGGATTCTAATCTGATTTCTATTGCATACAGGGGCAGAGTGGGAGTGACCTTTGCTCTCATTCATTAATTACAACTCAATGTTAAAAGTGATTTCCCTGAACAACTTTTTCTCTCTGGATGTTTATTGTTGGTTTTTAGAACAACATGTGATATCAGTGAAACCTGGAGATGATGTCACTCTGCCATGTTCAGCTGGTGATGGCTCCATCAGAGCTGTAGAGTGGACCAGAACTGACCTGGAGCCAGAGTACGTCCTCTATTACAGAGACGGACGCTCAGATCCAACCTACCAACATCCATCCTTTAAGGGTCGGGTGGATCTGACAGACAGAGAGCTGAAGGATGGAGACGTGTCTTTAGTTCTAAAGAACGTGACCATCAGTGACAGAGGAACATACGAGTGTCGAGTTGCTACAGGTGGTCCAAGCCGTCGTAAGAGAGCCAACATTGAGACTGACCCAATCAGAACCATCCAACTGGAGGTCACAGCCTCAGGTGAGTTAGTGGAGTTCAGGGTGATTCTCAGAGTCAAACATGAGGGACATAGAAGAAGAAATGGATTCTGTTCAGTCATTTTCTGACTAATGTACATTTTCATCTTCAGGTTCCAACAGCAAAAACACCATGGATGGAGACTACAAAGACACAACCAACAGGGATGGAAACAAACACATTGGACTGATAGTTGGACTGATAGCTTTCGGTCTGATTAGTTCAGCTGTTGTTGTTGGAATGGTTCTCTGGAAGAAAAAGAGACACACAGACAGTAAATCAGAACCAGCTGCTGATAAAGCAGTGGGTGATCAGCTCTTCTGAACCTCTACAGAGCTCTTTATACCAAAGTCATGTTGAACACTTTCTGTGGGCCATTTGTAAATCTGCTGTTTGAGGCTCTCCATCATCATGGACTGCATGGTTCAGGTTACCTGTAGCAGAGTGAGTAGGGGGGCAGAGCCACACCCACAGTTCTCCAGAGACCCACCATTGACCCAGTTCATCTGACTGAAGATGCATATCCGAGCGGGGCACTGTGGCACTGTGGTGGGGCACTCTAGGACCCCTCCCACCCCGGCAACAAACTCTTTGAACCCCTTCCCTCTGGCAGGAGGCTGCAATCAGGACCAAAACCTCTCGCAACAAGAACAGTTTCTTCCCGTCTGCAGCTTCATTAACAAGGCCCAGACCCCCTCTGTCACTGAGTCTCATACCCACCCTGTATATATAAATTAATGCACTCCCCTCTTCTGCAGTTTTCTTTTCTTATCTTTCTTTTCTTTATTTATTGTTGCTTTTAAAAGTTTTTTTTCACTTTTTTTTGTATATTTGTATATTTTATGCACCAATGCACCTTCGTCCTAGGTATATAAACCTACTGGGCAATAAACGTCATTCTGATTCTGTTTGTATTGTCGCTGTATTGTCGTCAGCCAGGGCTCCTAACTCTGACCTAATGTTGAGTGAGAACATCAACCCCTGTATCTGACAGAGTGCTGCTGTTAGCTCTGCAGACAAACAGGTGAAGATGTTAGCTGGGAGCTAGCTCTGTGCAGGTCGCTGAAAGCAACCGTGATGATGATGATGATGATGATTGATGATAGTTTTTTGTGTCCAACCGTGTTCGACTGTTTGCACATTTCATACAGGCTGCAGTGGATTCACATCATTTTGACTCGATTACATTCAAACTGACTGCTGCTGGATGAAAACTTCCTGGTCAGCTGTTTAATATCCATTATTCATGATCAACGCCATGAAGACAAGTACCTGTCTCACACACCGGCTGCCCTGTCTCTCTCTCCATGTACAGACTGTGTGTCTGTCTGTTAAACATCCACCAGATAACATCTCTCTCTCTGTTGCTCTGCAAAATGCTGAAAGAACAAACCTTCCTCTGGACTGAACTAATTGGTCCAGCAGACTACTGCATTTAGAGAGGAGAGGGTGATTACTCATTCATCAACTCACCTGGTGCTGCTCTCACAAGCCTTCCCCACTCCTTTCTGTCTCCTGCAGTGTAAACCACCCACATATATTCTATGTGGTAACTGATTGTGTATTAATTGTGTGACTTTCTGGCCAAAAGTAGTGCTGTTAGTTGCTGCATGTGGGCTTTCTTTCATTTTATGTTCCAGACAGATCACTGAGGTCCTCCACTGCTTATTGCACTTCTTTTTTTTGAGTATTTCATTGTGTACATTGTTTTGCCAGTGATGTAAAAACAGGAGCCTTAACTTTTCCTAAATGCACATATTCTGTCTCATAAAGAGAGCGCACATTGTGTTGTTTTACTGGGTCTCAATGTTTTGTCATTTTAAAAAAAGTGCCTCCCCAGAAAAACTACTACTAAAGTTGCTTTAGTATTCATGATGAGGGGAAATAACCTGAACCTCCCTTTAGAATCATCTCCCTCTGGTGGCTGTTAGCTTGTACACTGCGATAGCATCTCATGGTTAAAGTGAACCAGCAGTTCATTTTAAGTTCTGAAAGTAATAAACATTTTTAATCTGATTACACTGAGTGAATGTCTTTTATTAACTTAATGTAATCAGATTAAAAATGTTTAACAGCCACAGCCTGTTCACCCTGCTGCATTCTGGGAAGAGGTACAGAAGCTCTTGCTGCCGTACCTCCAGACTTCTTCCCTCAGGCAGTGAGTCATTATGTAAAATACTTTTATTTAAGGGACTACAGCTGGTATTTCCTTGTACTACCCTGTGTTGTAGGATGATACATGAACCTGGAAACAGCACTGAAACAGTGCTGACACTGATGCTCCTGTGCTGCCCCCTGCTGGCTGTCTGACTGCATTGTGATGCTGCTCTCTTCAGTGATTGGCTCAGCTGCTGCACTGACTGCTTACAGACTCACACAGTGATGATGATTTATATTTAATGTGTCACAAATTAATAAAAGCCCTGCAATACATCACTGTTGTCGACTAATTTCTCCCCGGGGATCTATAAAGTATTTCTGATTCTGAATAATAAAAACATTTTTTTTTAGATAGATAGACTTTATTAATCCCCAAAGGGAAATTGGATCATTATAGCAGCCAGGTACATTAAAATAGAATAAAATACTTCGATAGAAAAGATAAATAGGTAAAGTGCAAAGAGTTGTAGTTGCAAGATGGTGGTAATAGTACTGATGATATGATGGTAGTGTTATTGTTAATAACAGTAAATAATAATAACAGTATATAATGATAATATTAATCATATTAATAATAATATAATAATAATAATATGTATAATATGATGACTGAACAGATATAATGTATACACATAGATATTATACATTAATATTGATATAATGTAAACGTGTGTCATATATTCAGCCTGTGCAAGATGTGCATACATACATAATGTGATATATGATATATAGCATATGTATAATAGATACACAGGTGTTGAGGCGCAGGTGGTTGGAGTCACACCATGTGACAAAGTCCTGAATGAGTTTCCTGTACTCCTCCTCCTGGTCACTCCTGATACAGCCCACGATAGCCGTGTCGTCGGGGAACTTTTGCACGTGACAGGACTCAGAGTTATATTTGAAGTCCGACGTCTATATGACCTGTAGACCAGTAATGTAGTTGTGAGTACCAGCAGCTGGAGTTCAGGACCAGGAGGCATCAGACAGGCCTCTGATGAATCAAGTTTTCCCTGAGGTTTGCAATCACTGCTAAGTTCTCAGCCATGGAGGGAATATCCTTCAGTGTCTACTACAGCCTGAGCTTCATGTCCATGGGGCCTTCAGTGGCTAAACCTTCCAGCTGTCACAGAAGAAGTTCACTAACCTTGGTTTGTTGGGCGGCTCAGCAGTGAGGTCAGAACTAAAGAGAAACAACACTTTAGTTTCTACTGAACAGAAAACAACCACACATTGATATTAGATAATAATGCAAACAGCAGATGATATTTAAAGGTCCAATGTGTAACACTGAGGACGATCTATGGTCAGAAATGGAATATAGGGCTGCCGAGGTAGCTGATAGTGTAAAGCCCAATCTCTCAGTAATAGAACACAGCTCATTTAGTGCCTCCAAGACAGATCTGGTGTCTGCTGGGTCCATATTGTGGCCAGCTCGTACTGTCACACTCTGTCACAAGCTTGTTAACAACCTTCCAATGTTTCATGTTTTTATTTTATACGAATTAAACTGAACACAATCACAATAATTTAATCTGGAACATTAGTTGTAAGTCATACATTTAAGTTAAGTAAGTTTTTTACTTTATTTATTTTGAATAAATACTGAAATATAATAAGGATTGGACTAACTTATCAGTGCTACACTGAATCTGAATCAGTTTTATCAGCCAGAAACAGTGTCAGTCTGAGTCCAGCAGAGGGCCATGTTCACTGTGCACTGGTTCATATGATTGCACAGTGTGGAGGTGAATGCACCATGTTGAGATTATTGTTGCTCAGCTTTATGGTTATATTCGTGTTTGTTATGTAAAAATGCGATTTATTTTACTGTTTATTTTTAAATACTGTAAAAGTTTTAGGCAGGTGTGAAAAAATGCTGAACACGAAGAATGCTTTAATAGTTTATTTGCATTGTGACGGTCCCTGTCTAATGTTGATGTGCTGATGTGGTTGACCAGTTATTGTTTTTCCTATGTGTCCTTGAAGGTACCATCAGCAGAGTATGGATTTGGAGCACCTGGTTCAGGTGCTCCTAAAAGGATAAAAACCCTGTCTCAACTTTGCTCTGGTCTCAGCTCTCTCTCTCTCATTCGGCTGCATCAGCAGCAGCAGCAGCACATTCTCTTTGTTTGGTTTCTGCTTTGTTTTCACTTGACAACATTTACACTTCATATTGCTCACACATCCACATTTACATTACTGATGTTACTGACTGACAGACTTCACATTTCTTATAACCTCAGTTGTTTAAATTAATATAATAAATTCACTTATTTCTTGCCATCTATTGTGTCCTATGCCATATTTGTCGTGGCCTAGGAGCCGGGTTATGATAAACTGGGGGCTCGTCTGGCCATGTTTGTTCCCGTTTTTTGCGCCATTATTTGTAAATGTATTCGTAAATTTGGTATTTGGTTACAGTATATCAGCAGGCGGTAGGGTGTTTGCTTAGAGCTTGTTGTAAGCCACTTTCTGGAGGATTTTTCTAATCCTAGGGTCTACTTTTTTTTGGTAACTCACACTTTGGAAATTGGTGCACGTATGCGTAAAGTTGTCGGGAGTGCTAGTGGTGCGCTCTGGTATAGATCCTTTGTTCTCCAGTTAACTGTGCAGGTGCAGGCCCGTAAAAGTTTGTTTGCTCTTGTTGGAGAGTGTAAAGCAGAGATACTCATTGCGCAGCTTGCGAGCCAGATGCAGCTAGTCAAGCTTTAATTGGTGGCTCGCATGGTAGCTTATAACAATATGGTAACAGCCAATACATTTTTTCAAATGTGCTACATAAATATACAGTGAACACTGCACTACAAAAACGCAAACATCTGCATTACACTTCTCCTTTCACCTTAATTAATGGTGTTTCCTAAAGGGGGCACTGTCAAACCTGGCAACGCAGCCCGCTTATGGCATTGTTTACACTTGACTGCAGTGCACGCTTGCAGCCAGGTTACGTTAGCTCCGCTAGCCAGCGTGAGATGCAGGCACAAAATGGATCGGTTTCTAATAAAAAAGAGGGCAAAAACCAGACGGACAGACACACAGCGTTGTAACGAACAGTGAGGAAAAGGAGTCTGAGGAACCAGCAAACGAAAATCAACATGAAGACGCCGGAGGGGGGACGAGCAGGCAAACGTCAGGTGTTCCCAAACAAATGACATTCTCCAAGTTGAACTCAGAGCAGGTGTTGGCCACTTCTGGAGATGGTTTCTGTAGCAGACTTTCCCACTTTGAAACTACTTGCACAGAAAGTGATGTCTCTCTTCAACCGACTGACCCATGCTCATCTTGAATGCCTCACTGTGATTGCAACAACAAACTACAAATACAACTCATCCCAGTATTAAGGTAAATATGGTCTTAATTGAAAATGTATTGGCTGTGTTGTTCATTTTTTTGTGGGATGTCCAGTTTATATGTAGAAATGCACATTTGCAAAGGTGACTTGGTATGTTGTCGTAAAAGTGGCTCTCCCCTTGATTTTGCTCTGCCAATGTGGCTCTTGCGAAAAAAATAGTGAGGATCAATGGTGTAGAGGAAAGGACGCGTTCGATGATGGCTTTGTTGGGTAAGTAGACTATTTCTGAATGATTGTGTAGTGTTCCTTACCTGGATTTGGCCATTTGAGTATTTGTTTGCTTGCCGGTTGTTTGTGCTGCTATCAGCTGATCCGGATAACACTTGCAGGTTGCTTGTGCACAGTCTGGTAAAATGGTGAGGAGTTCTCACTTGTACGCTGTAGCGATGTTCTCCTTTGGGTTCGTTGAGCTGGTGTGTGTAGTGTTGTGGCGAACGTGGCAGAAGCATGCTCGGGAGCATGTCTTGGTTTTGGAAGGGTTGCTAGCTCTCCTGATCCAGCGGTCAACAGTGCATAAATACCCACCACAACTAACCACATGAAGACTAGGGGGGAGTTTAGTTAGCCAGTTGGGTTTAGATTGCTGGGAAACTCCAAACTAAATGGAGGTTTATTCCTCTCTGGTGCGCACGGGTGGACGGCATTGTGGCTATCTGGTCCTTTGGCGTGCGTAAAAGTTTGGTGTTGGCCTTGTTTGTTGTGCTACATATTTTGTAATGTCTCAAATTGAAGCGTTTATTGCTGACCCATCTCAGGAGTCCCTGGATAATTACACAAAAGAGCAGTTGCTCAAGATTGCTGCACATTATTCAGTGGAGGTCGAAGGTGACAAACGTCTCAAGGAGAACGTTAAAGCGGCTATAAAAGCTGTCTGAGGGGGGTAAGGGGAAATTTTTCTCCAAATCCTCCTGCTGTGTCTTTTCAGACTCATGGATTAACTTTTGAGCAACAAAAAGAGATTCTGATGTTGCAGTAGGACCATGAAAAAATGAAACAAGAACTAGACGTTAAAAAACATCTTGAAATGGAGAGAATCCGTCACACATCTGAAAAAGCCAAAATAGATTTGAAGGGATATCGTTTATCTCTGGTGAGGGATGGCCTTTTGTCCGGCGAGGCTGTGAGCAGGCAGCTGCCCAGGTCTTCTGATCAGTTTGACATTAATAACTTGCGTTTGTTGCCATGATTTAATGAAAAAGAGACTTTTTTTTTGCTATTTGAACGTGTAGCTAAGGCTAGGAATTGGCTTGATGCAGACTGTGCCCTCATGCTTCAGAGTGTTTTATCAGGAAAGGCGCAGGAGGCATATTCATCTTTGACTGTGGAGGATAGCTCTAGCTATAACAAAATAAAAGCAGCCGTACTTAAGGCTTATGAACGTGTGCCAAAAGCAAATCGTCAGTGTTTTAGGTCCTGGGAGAGGAAAAAAGGTCAAACATACGCAGAGTGTACCAGAGACATGTCAACTCATTATAGGCGGTGGTTAACTGCGCTTCAAGTGACTACTTTTGATGAGTTGTGTGATTTGATGATTTTGGAGCAGTTTAAAAATAGTCTTCCAGAACGTATTGCAACATATATAACAGAACGGAAAATGAATACAGCTGCTGAGGCTGCTGTGTCAGCTGATGAGTATGTATTGCTCCATAAGGGCAGTTACAGAGAGCGCTCCATGGCTCGTGATGTTGGTGAGCGAGGACATTGTTTTGATGCCGTTCCGTTTGACATGACGCGTTCAAAGAGAATTGGCCATTTCAAACCTGAACTTAACGCAAGTGCTAATTTTGAGAATGGGAATACCTGTAACTATAGTCACAAGAAAGGACATTGGAAAGCAGATTGTGCTGTGTTAAAGGCTAAAACCAGGGGAGTGAAAGCTATTGTTAGACCTGTTGCATTTGCTGCGCCTGTTAAAGTTTGTGTCTCTGAGTTGCTTACCCCTCACACCTGTGAATCACAGGTTTTAGAGGCTTATGCTCCTTTCATTCGTGGTGGATCTGTGTCGCTGGTTGGAAGTGATGTGGAAGTCCCAATAAAAATCCTGAGGGCTACAGGGGTCTACAGTTCCTACATTGTTGACTCTGTAGGCCAGGAAGGGAGACCAGGCAGATCGCCACAGTTCGCCACGGATCGCGAGAGAGACACTAGGGCACCGCCAGGAAGGCGCACAGCGGACCAGTGTGGAGTGACTGAGGTCCGCGAGTGGGGCTATCTAGAGACTGGGGATCTTCAAAAGAGACTTTGGGCTGGGTTTTATTTTTTTATTATAATACATTTTGTGTATATAATCGATTTGATTTGTGGTTTCTTAACTCTGCTCAAACCTGATTTTAAAAGAACCTGTGTTTTTAGGAGTCCTAGGCTCACAATCCTTGGTGGCGTTGTCTTGCATTGTAATTTTAAATTCCTTTTTTTCATCCTCGCCCTAACAGACACTTGGAAAATTGTCTCGGTTCTTATGGTGCTATCCATTTGTCTCGTGAACTCAGAGCCTGAGTTGTTCTGCCGCGAGAACGTGACGTCATTGCCTGGCATGTACCACTTATAGTGTTCCAGTTTGTCTTTGGGCATTACAAGTCAGAAAGAAGTGCAGCAGCTGTGTTGTTATTGTTTGTGGATCTTCTAAACAAGCTCAATGTGAGATGATAATAATGTTTTTCTACAGAAACACTAACATTTCAAGTAATTCCGTTATTGCAAGTCTTATATTTCAATAATATTGTGCCATTTTCGCCTATTTCAATTTCAACAAGTGCTGTGGTGTTTGTCTCAAGCTACCAGGGGCCACCAGGGGCCTCCAGGGGCCTCCAGGGGCCCCCAGGGGCAGTGGCAGGCTAGTGTTATTGTTTGCTACATTAGCCTATTTAGCAAACCAGCTCGAACACCGTGCAATGCATAAACTGGTGACCGGACTAAAGCAGCAATGTAAACAGTGTGTAAGAGCATTTAAAGTCGACATTAAAATGACCAACGTAGTACAAATACAAAGAACGTACATCTCAATATGGGCGCTGCCATCTTTGTTTTGCAGGCTGTACGTACCCCCCCGTCCAGCTCGGGGTACCCTGAGCTGGACGGCTGAAATTCCGACCAAATGGCTTGGTTGGAAGCAGAGTTTGGACCAACACTCCTCCCTCACTTGTAGTCACACTTTGTCCATCTGATTTGGTGTCTGAGAAGAATCCTAGTGCTTTGCTGGAGATTTCTTCGTCCTGTGTAGTTACACGTGCTATGCGTAGAGCAGAGACTGAGGTGCCATCTGACAGTAACAGTACTGATGTGGTTTTAGAGGTTCCATCTTTGTCAGAGCTTCCTTTGTCACTGTCTCAAAGTGAGATGGTGCAAGAACAATGTAACCTGGGACCTAATGTCTCTTTGAAGGAAATATTTGAGCATTTTATGCCTGCCTTGGAGATAAGTAATGTGGTGACTGGTTCCTTTTTGCATAATAGTTTGCTAGTCAGAAAATGGGTTACTGTGAGTGAGGATGGGGTAAAAATTATGTTTTCCAGATAGTGGTCCTAACAAGGTTTTGTTTCCTCATCTTGAAGTGGCACATGACAAGTGTGGACATCTTGGTGTCCGGAAAACATACCTCAACATCCTGAAACATTTCTTTTGGCCTCGGATCAACGTGTCAGCATACATTAAAACCTGTCATGTTTGCCAGCTCACAGGAAAGCCAAATCAAAAAGTCAAGCCTGCACCACTGCAGCCTATCCTGACTGTGAGTGGACCGTGTACTCATCTTATTGTGGACTGCGTGGGCCCGTTGCCATGTGCCAAGCCTGGTTGTAAATATCTGCTTACTGTGATGTGTAAGAGCACTAGGTATCCGGCTGCTTACCCGTTGAGGTCAATTACGACCAAAGCCATCGTGAAGGCATTGTCTCAGTTCATTTCTATATTTGGCATCCCAAAAGTAATCCAGAGCGACCAGAGGGGTATTGCACAAAAGTAGGATAAAGACATCCAGGATAAGTGAGCAAGCACGGCTTGACGTAGCCTGCTCGGCGCATCCTGGCTTAATTGGTTGCACGTTTGCCGAGCCAGGATTAAAAGGTGCGGCTATGTTAAGCCAGGTGTAGATAGTCGGGATAAGTGCGTGTTCACGGCATACTGAAATAGACCTCGCGATCGCTCACAGAATCACCGATGGGAACATGGATAAGGCCGCTGAACAACAGCTCCTGATGGAGTTCTATGAAGAGGTGGAAGATATAAGAAAAAAAGGCAATACCAATGCCATAATTAAAGAAAGAGAGAAAGCCTGGCAGACAACAGCGGACCGGCTTAATGCTTAAGTAGTCCAAAACTGTACAATG